AATCACCCAAAACATGCCTTACATCACCAAGGAACTACATATCCCTAGTGGTGAATTCCCTGGTAGCCTGTGTTGGTTGGGAAGCCTCACACTGCACATTTCCCTAATGTGGGATGAATAAGATACTCAATTATTATTATTATTAAAGTAAACACCCTTCACAGCAATATGACTTAAAAATACACCATACAACAAGTGTTTTCCATGTACATTCAACTGATACATTTATTTTTTTTTCTTTACACAATGTTGAGCACAAAGTTAAAATGAAGCCCAAACTCCAGTCAAAAGCAAAAATATACAGAGTGCTACGTTGTGATACACAACTACAATTAACGATTAGGTAAAACAGCTTTTTGATGAGGCTTTTGACCGTGCTCCGCTTCAATCTAGAGTGAGACATTGGCTCTATAGGTAGGTATGAGTAACTGTATATATTTATTTAGATATATTTTAATTAAACCATAGTTGATTCAATTAAGAGATCCATAATGTAACCTCATTTGAGGAACTAACATGTTTATGGTACCAACTATCGAGGTAAAATCTTTAAAGTCATAATTTTAAAATTAACTTGGAAATCCTACATTTCCATATTGAATAAAATCCATATTTTCATTTTTTACAATTAAGATTTATTTATATACATTCTGTTCGAGGATTTTTTGTAATTTTGAAGTAATTTTTGGACATTAATGCTAGTTTTGCCATAATGTGTTGTTTTGTTTTGCTATTTTATTCTATTCTGAGTACTTTAGTACTCTCTCCTGTTTACGGTACTTTTCGTACTTTGTTCAACTAAGTTTTAGTGTCAAATTCTCCAGATGAAAACCAGGCAGAGTTTAAATAAGGAAGATTTGATGCCAGCTAAAATATTCCCGAATGATTTATGGGAACCTTCTGTTATCCCAAAGAGTCCAAGGTTACTGTATTGTATGACCTTCCACAGATACATACATACAACTATAAACAGGAGGGAAGACACTGCAGTAAATGTAGCAATTCATGGAGGAGCTTTTGATTGAAAGCAACCCGTCAACAGCAGTTACACACCTTAGTGTCACTTTTTTAAAAAACAAACAAAAAAAAAAAAAAAAAAACGCAACACAGACTGACATGCTAACATGCTACCACAGATAATAAAGAAATATATACAGGTTTAGATCAGGAAAACTATGGGCAATGACGTCAATATGTGACACAGTGGTTCCTTTCATCCCATCTGATTAAACGAATCTTGTGGACCTTCACCGACTACCGTTGATGTCTGTGACTCCTCCTGCAGGGAGAGGATTTCCTGTTTACCAGTCTCCTGTTTTAAAAAGTTCCCCTTCTGAGTATAAACACCGCTGTCTGAGCCCTCTTCTAGCGATCCTTCGTCGACATTTTCCTCAGGCGTTCTCGTACCACACTCTTCTTTTGAGATTTGTGTTACAAAAAGTGGTTGCTCATTTTCAGGGTCATCCACTGGGGTATAGATATGCCTGTTGTTGATGGCCAGATGCCCATTTTCTCCAGCAATGTCAAAACTCTGCGAAAAAGCAAAGACAGAAACACAGTGAAAATGTGTTTACACATAATAGCTAAAAGCTTCCTTTTCCATCAGTGTTGTAGTCAATAAGATGTGGTACAGTTGATCGCACAAAGACTTCAGTGGTATTTGAAGTGCAAATAAGCATTAGCCTTATATAGTACCTTAAGCTTTTTAAGAAATCACATACATTTCAACAAAACAAAGTAAAAAGAAAACACATTTACCTTTTTCTTCCGTTTTACATGAACTGGTAAAAAAAAAAAAAACAAAAGATAAGAAGTTAGATGAGTTGAGTCTTTTACTAAAACTGATTTCATTATAAATGATCTACAACGGCAGCACGACGTACCTGTGTACAAGCATGCAGCCACTATTAAACTGACCAGGAAAAGAAATCCTATCAACAGGCCGATATACATTCGTGTCATTCGCTCTGCAAGAAAAGCAGAAGAGGAAAAACAAATTGGTTGAATGCTTGAACCTTCAAATATACATTAGATTTATCATTTCCAATTTCTAAGAACACCTCAGTAAACAGGTCGGACGCACATCTCTACAAACACGTATAATAAACTCAGTTTGTTTATAGAAAAGCGAGAGTGGACCGGTGTTATTTAAGGCAGCTTCAGTCCCGTTTACAGACTGGAAGAGTAAAAACAAACACCCACAAACCACACCCCCTACGCAACCCTGTCACCTCGTGGGTTTCATTTTGAGAAAGTCACGATCTCTAACCACACAGCTGCACGGATAAAACAGCAAAGTCTTCACAGTACAGTGTAACATCCCACACAGACACTCACCGCAGACGTTGTCAGATATCGCCGTTCCTTTCTGCCAAAGTTCATATCCACTCCCACATCTGAAAAAAAAAAAAAGACCAATAAAACTGTGAAACTGTTTGAACGAGACATTAAAAGTCTCTGTCTAGGACCAGTTTCATGGGTTCATTTCACATATTTACTCGTCGTTCTCTCTCCTCACCAGATGAACTAAAGTCAATATATCGTAGCTTTTCAGGCGACAGCTAATAGATTTAACACAGGAATGTGATTAAGACCACAGAACTTACTCAGTGTGTTTGATGCAAACACTTTCCCAGGAGTCATTGAAGGAGAATGAGCCCTCGGGACATTTTTGGCACACAGTGTCATGGGTGTGGTTCCCTGAAATGGAAAACATTTCTTTTTTAGATTTTTCTTAACCAAATTATTCACTAACTCATCATGATTAATCGTGGTTGTAATCACCATACTTAAACATGATTAATGAAGGTGATTAAAAAAACAAAACAACCACCAATTCCTATTTTTCCATATTAATAATCCTGCAGGACGACTTTAACATCTCCCTTCGATTTCCACTTCTCTATCATGTAGTTTGGGTTTAGTTTGAACGCAGTTAAAAGAAATCTTATTCCTTCATGTACCACCAGAGGGAGTCCAAATACTAAAAAAAAGTATGAATACCTTAGGTAGAGGACCCCTGCTGTATAATACACTTTCAATGTAAGGTCACTGAATTTGACGATTCATACCTATGGCAACAGCGCCCTCTCCTGGTTTGCAGGTTGTGTGCGGTACACAGATTGAACAGATTTCACCGGAGCAGTGGAAGCCGAGCAAACACATGCAGCTGATTTTCTTCTTCTTATTGTCCTGGGTAGAAACCTGGAAGTTTCTATCTTAAAAACAAACAAACAAAAAAGACAAATACCATAAAGATGTTTTCAGGTTCAAGCCAGTCCAAACTGGAACGACTGTATGACTTCACTTACTGGCGTCACAGTATGGCTGTTGTTGACATTTGGAATCAGTGTTGTATTTATCTTGATATTCACTTTCCCCACATTCAGAGCACCGAGGTTCAAAACAAGGGCTTTGAGATAACATGTGTGTACCTGAAAAACACAGGGAGTTTTATTAGAAAAAGAGTTTTAAAAAATATACATAATATATATTATTTTAGAGAAAAAATATACATAATATATATTATTTTATGGTCTGTATTGTCATTGTACCACAAGGATATATAATATTATATATATATAGTAGTTTTTACTTTACTGATATATATATACTAGATGTATATATAGTATATAAAAAATAAAATATATATATTACAAATAACTATATATATAGTATATATATGTATATAGTAGTTTAAGCTTCACTGTAGTGCGTGTGTGAAATATTTGACTTGAAATGTGATTCGTCATAACATTTACTTCATTGACATTGATTGGATGGAGACCCTGACTGTAACAATTAGCATCAACGTGTGAGAACTACAGCTGTTGGGGGGACAAATTACAACAACAACAACAACAACAAAAGTATTTTTACAATTTATTTTATAGTAACAATGATATTTGATACCTGGACTGCACATTTGACAACATTGTCCGGACCTCTGGTACTGAGTCAGTGGGTCGCAGCTGAACTGAGCAGCAGTCATCAACTAGAAAAAAAGAAAAATAAATAAGGAAACTGTTTTTAACTGTAATGCGTTTTGTTCCTGTATTATCATTAGTGACGGGGGGATTTCTGTTTGACGCCGGCAGCTGGTTCACATCCTCAGAGCAGACAGTAAAGGGGTGTGGTGGAAAGTACCCAACATTCAACAGGGCTGAAGTGAGACTGGAAGTGTCAACAGGTGCAGCTCTGTTGTTCTTCATTATTTCACAGTAGAGTGAGTTTAAAACCAACGCTCTCAAAGTCACAGGAAGAGGATGTGATGTGATGTGAAGGAACTTGTAAGTCGATGAGGAAGTGCAGTGGGCTGTTAGCAGAGTGAGGTCGGCTATCAAAAGGTTTATTTAGTATTTATCATTATTTCCTGTTTAAATGACTTAAGATGCCATATTGTAGACATGAAGCGTTGGAGTTTTTATTTTAAATTGAACTGAACTCATAGATCACTACATTACAACTATGTTTTCAACCACTTTTCAACCAGCAACCCTGCAATCAACCATGGAACCTTGGCTACAACTACAACTGGTGAATTAACAGTAACATAATCATCCTGGTCTCTCAGCCGTTGGACAGATTATTTTAATGTAATCTAATGCAAAATAATTCAACGTCATTCACAGCCAGTGAGCGACTTCACCGCAACGCTTTCATCTCGACTGTACTGTAAACCGAAAGTGAAACTAACGTTATACTAATGACGGAGCAGCTACTAGTCGACACGGTCGATGAAAAATGTAAAACCACACCAATAAAGTCCCTCAAAATACTTTTAAATCAAACAAAATACACAAAAGTGTACTCACCGCGAAATCCGCACACACCAACGCCACTAGTATCTTCATCCTCATCGTCAGCAGGTGAACTTGGTCGAGTTTCAGCAACATACTGCTTTATCTGCAAGACCAGAGGGCGGTATGGGAGACGTCTCCCACCAGCCCTCCTTTTTTGTAGGTGGGGCTCATGTGGGTTTTTCCCCACGTCACTTGACCATTTCCTGTAAATTCAAAATACTCAGAGGTTATATGGTAGAAGTCAACATCACCAAATGTGGTTAATATAATATAATATAATATAATATAATATAATATAATATAATATAATATAAACTATTATTATTATTGTACCAAACACAGACATGCATACACAAAGACATACAAATTGCAACAAAGTATAATTATTATTTGAGCTTTGTGTTTGCAAAAATTAACAATAAAAAAGACTTCTACAACAATGCATAGAAATCCTAACATGACATAATCATTTTCATATTGTTTCCTTGCAGCAGTAGAGTTGTTCTCCTTTCTCATTGTTCATGTAACAAATCCATCCATTTTTTTTTCATGTGATTTAGCTAGTTTGGATATCGTCATCACATCAGCCTCTTTTTTTTTCTTTGTTTCGTGCCTCTCCTAAAATGCTTTGGCGCCCCCAAGGGAGACCTCCCACTTTCAAACAATTTGCGAGTTAATATTTACATTATATGAAGCTCAAAGTTCAAAATAAGTTACTTCCAAGAATGTTTTTCCACTTGTTGCTGTCTGTGCAAAACCGCTGAAGCGCCGTTGATCTGATGTGGTTACACAATGTTTTACGACGCATCTGCTTCATCCTCCAACTGTAAAAGTGGCAAGGAGTCACGTGGGACGATGTACTCAGACAGGTTTGGTATTTCGGTGAGTACGCAGCAGCTCAGGGCAGTGCGAACCCTCTCTATGTCAGAGGCCAGAGACCACCGATCCAGATCGCTGTTGTAGTATTCCACCTTCTTGTTAGCGCTGAGGCCGGTGAAACCACCAACAACGTAGATTTGGTCATTAATCACGCCCAGGCCAAAGCTACTGCGGGGGGTCAACATGGAGGACAGCACGTGCCAGGTGTTGGTCTGGGGATTGTAGACCTCCGCACTACTGTGACGGATGGAGGACTGACATCCACCAATCTGAGGAACAGAAAGAAAGTGAAGTCACAGCAACATGTGGAATAGGTTTTAGTTTGAAATTTGAAAAAAAAAAGGATGACCTAAAAAGCTCTTTTCACAGTGGTTGGGTTTCTACAGTACAGTTGAGCAAGGTTGAAGGTTTGAATTTTTAACTGAAATTTATTTTGCCTTCTGAAAAAAATCAGGGCATTTGGAGTTCTTTCCTAAACTGTTTTACCATTAACTTTGTTTGAATAAACTATAAGTCAAATGTACATACAGCATATATTTGCTCTGCGTGGGCGATGACTCCAAGTCCAGTGCGTCTGCTGTTCATGGGGGCGATTATGGACCACTGGTCGGTCTCTGGGTTGTAAAACTCTGCCGTTTCCAGGCACTGGTGACCATCATACCCACCACAGACATAGACCTAACAAAACAGACAGCTTTAATTCAGGATAAAACCTAATTTTTTTTAACTGATGGTAATTAATGTTGTACGTGCAGTCCCACGTTCTCACTCTCTCTCTTGTACATCAATACCTTTCAGTTCCAGATTTACATTCACACAGATGCACATATTTCCAGTCACTACTCAGCAACTTCTAATATTGTTTCCCACTCCACCGACCTTATCATGTAGTGTTGTGCAGCTTGCGTCGCTTCTAGAGAAGTGCATCGATGCTATACAGTTCCACTGGTTCGTTTCGGGTTGGTAGCGTTCTGCGGACCTCAGTCGGGAGTAACCATCAAAGCCTCCTATAGCGTAGATGATTCCCTCCAACACTGTTACACTCACATAACAGCGTCCATAGTACATTGGAGAAACCTCGTGCCAGGCGTGTGTCTTCAAGTCCATCTTGCTCACTCTGTTGAAACGCTCTCTCTGGTCAGTGCCACCGACGCAGTAGAGGAACCCATCCAGGCAGACGGTGCCGTGATAGGCCCGGGGACATTCCAGACTGTGTGCGACCTTGACCCACTGGCCAGCGCAGACATCGAACGCCTCAATGTCTGAAATTGGATTATTGGCCCTCCAGCCTCCCACGGCGAGCAAGATGACACATGGGAGACGGGGACGGGCAAGGACGTTGCGGAAACCAGACACGGGGAATTTTCGCCGGATCTTCCACTGGATCGCTTTAATGGCTTCACTGGCCATTTGCTGGCACTCAGGGTTGTTCATCACCAAGTCGTTGGACATCAAGTCAGTATAAATGCAACGCATTGTTGTCAAGGCTAGTCGGACCTAAACAAAGACAAGAGTGGTTTTTAATGGAAACACCAAACCTAACTCTAACTCTAACGACACCAACAAAGCACAAACTATGACCCTGACCTAATCCCAATTAAAACCTAAACTTTATCTAAAAGTGCAGGCCTTTCATCAACTATAATCCTTAACACCAACATTAACGATAACCAAACCCGAACCCTAATGTATTCCAGCTAACCTAAGCACTAAACCTATTCATAATCCAACTCTATTCTGGATCATTAATTTTTTATGCCATATGATTCACCGATGGCTGATATTATTTGTCTGAATTGGTTATTATATAAAAAATTAAAATACAAAAGCCTGTCTACTAAATGTCATACATGTGCTTAAAGCCTTGCTCATACTGACATGATTACCTTAGACAAAAGCATGGCAGTGTGTTTTTCTCTCTCTTCAGATCTGTGGCAAATCCAGCGACTGATGGCCGTAAACACTGTACTTTCTGTCTTTACGTTGAGCTCATCTCTGTCGAGGATTCCCGCGAGCTCCTGCACAGAGAGCTGCAGGAACTCATCGCAGGGAAAAACCTCTTCAAAGTGATGAGTGATGTAGTGGTGGGCTCTGTGGCGCAGTTCACACTTGACAACATTTGTCAGCTGCCAGATGCCGATGCAGTTTTCTGGACAGAGCTGTCCAGAGAGGAAGTCTGAGCAGGCTTGCACCAGAGCTATTACATTGAGCATATCGGCGGCTAACAGTAACTCCTCTACGTTGTCCTTTGTCACGGTAACAGAGTCAGTGTATGCATATTCAATGATGAGCTGCATCGAGTCAGGAGACAGGCCGTAGATGTCAAACACCATGTTTGCGGTGGACTGGTACTTGAACAGAGCTCTGTAGATTGAAGAGGATTGAAGGACAACAGAGAAATGAATGGGGGCTTTCATTGGAATGTTCTTACATTTTTCAAAAACAGTTGAATGAATGTGAAGGGGAAAAAAAACAGGAAGTGAAAACAGGAAGGTAAAGTCTATGTTGCATGGTCCTTAACATGTGTTAAAGTAAAGAAAACTATTACATTTATTTCAACCAATTTATAAATAGTTATGCTGCAACTCCAAGTTGAGGTAGAACAAGAAATAATCCTTTTTTTAAACCAGTGTTTCCCAAACTCTTTTTTTCTGGTGACCCATATTTTAAAAGTCACAAACCTTTGGGAGGACCAAGGGTCACGACCCAGTCTTTTGGAAACAATGTTCTAAACTATACAATGTTCAGAGCAACATCCGAGAGCTGTTATTATTATATTATTATTTAAAGGTAAATAAACATTTTGTGGTCAATCCAGTTAAATAAGAATTCATAAGAAAACAAACAATAATCCATTAATCGACTCACCCGAAAAATGGACTGCAGTTACAGAGGATGATCTTGTGGGTTTTAAACTCGGCATCCTCCACTCTGATGACTGCATCATGATAATTACCCTCGAGACGAATCTCATTAAAAAGTGAGATCTTCATCTTTGAAGACACGTTGAACTCCGGCGGCCGTGGTGCGTCTGTTGGTTCCTCATCTTTGGTATTTATGACAGACAGCATCTGCAATGTGAAAATACGATAATTCTACAAAGTAGAATTATCCATTTGATTGTGATATATTTTTATACATATTCTGTTTTTACCTCTGGATTCAATTTTTTCAACGATATCTATGATGTCACATAGATCAAAGAATTTTAGAACTTTTAACCTTTATTACATCACAGGTGGGTGTGGCATTTACGGGCATTTTGAACTATTTAATCTCCTGTTAATTTCCTGTTAATCTCCTGAATTTATTAAATTTGGTAAAATTTTTGTTTGTATTGTTTTTTTTTTTTCAATAGAAAGCTCCACGATCTTGGAGTGACGCCAGCATATGTGATGTTACTGTGAAGCTGCAACGTTGCGGTGAAAGTCTGTGTTGGAATTCAGGGAACACAATGTGTTTTACCGGGAATTCCTTGGAATTTTTTTATTTGTGTTTCATCGGCACTCCATTACGAATAATTCTTGTCCAAATGCATCAGAGAAGTCCTTTCTCTTTGTGTGTCCTTTGCTCCAGGTCAGAACCTGCTTCTTTCTAATTTTTGGATAAAAAACAAAAGGCACGGTTTCCGTTCAGATTTGGTTTAAATTTGACTTTTGATCCAATAAAACAGCACCTCTCGACAAAGATACAAAGCTTTATTATTATTGTGTGTATTATCATGTTGTGGACCACAAACTCTCTCTGCTGAGTACAGGGGCTGTAGAGGCATGTGGAGACCTGTGAAAAGACTAGAACTGTCAGCTGCTATGCAGATAGCAGAGTGTTGCTGTAGGTGTGGCCAAAAAAACCTGTAACTACTTCACCGGGAAGAATGTAACCTGAGCTAAAAAGGGCGGAAGCACCAAAGTGACACAAATCACTTTTCTTCTTCCTCCTAAGAGAAGAGAGTCCTGTTTTTATTTTGCAAGAGGAATAATAAAAAAAATCCTCTGTCTTTCAAATTGTATGAAACAGGAATAGACTGAACCAGCAGTGAAGTTTTTCAACAGCCTATAGAAAACAATGAAGCCAAATTTAGGATCATGGAAGAAAGACAACGTCTCCAGAATGGACAAATACATGGAGGACATGCCGCAGGTAGGACTTCAGTTTGTGTGACATCATCAAACATCAGCGTCTATAAATAAATGAATGGGTTTTTTTTTTATTAGAAAATGTGGAATGAAGGCTTTTCAAATCACTACATGAGTTTTCATGTAGTGATTTGAAAAGCCTTCAAAACAGCTTCTCTGTATTCTTGGTTCCTGAGAAAAACTACCCCCACTTTCATTTACGTGTGTCTGTCAGTTATGGTAATGCTCGTGGGAGAGCTTCCTTTTTTCTACTTGACTTCCCAGTTATCGGTAATTTCCAACGACCAAATCATTACTGTATTGTCACACCTTTCTTACAGTGTGGTCCTCCAGTGACGGTGTGTTCTACCGCAGCTGACACAGGGATATTACACTACATGTAAATGAATTCAATTGAATGAACGAAAAAAAATAGATATATAAAAATAGATATATATATAGATATTCTAAGTCAAGGATGTGAAAATGTTTGCATTTCACAGAAGTTCCTCAAGCTTCAAATACAATCTCATCACCGAGAGTTGATTTTTAAACATTTTGATTTAAAATGACAGAATGATAATTATTCTTCCTTAATTAATCTTGTAGTTATGATTAATCTATAGCATTGTTTCCCAAAGACTGGGTCGCGACCCTCTGGTAGGTCACAAGAATTTTTTTCTCATCATCATCTCGCATCACGTTTCGTAGGAGTTTACGAATAATGTCTTATCGACTTGGGTCACGAATGTTTGTGACTTTTAAAATATGGGTGCCCATATTTTAATCAGATTAAAAAATTTGAGAGCCCTATAAAAATACAACCATGTCCTGGAGGTTAAAGTAATTATTATTATTATTATTTTTTACCACAGCATACAAAATGTAAAAATATTTGACCCTCGATTTTGATACGTGTTTTGATCGCAGCTGAGCAACGAGATGCAGCTCAGCATAATGAACAAGGTGAAAAGCGGAGAGCTGTCCATCGAAGACGCTCTGACCCAGGCCCGGAGGAACCGAGATCAGCTGCTCACACAGAAGAGTCTGGCTGAAGAGGTAACACCCTGAGCCCTGAAGACAGTTTACGGTCTAATTAAATCACAGATTACAGCGTGTATTGTGAAGTTTCCACTGCAGAGCCTGTTTGATCAGTTTTAAAATGAGAAAGTAGCACCACTTCATAGCAAATCATTTATGGTGGATTTTTTTTTTTTTTTTTTAATTGTCATTACAGGAAGAGCAGACAACTCAGTATAACTTCAGTGTTAACAAACATGGACGCTACAGGTGGCAGAAGCGGGTTATTCAGGTGAGTCCACATACAATAGAAGCAACAAGTTTCCTGTACAGTAAAGTGGTTTAAAAGTTGTGCAAGGACACAACTACGTAGAAAGGGGAATTGACGTCACACTGCCATGTTCTGCCCAATCAGAATCGAGAAGTGTTGTCCCAACCCTTTAATATGAAATGCCATTGTGTTTTGTGAAATGTTGTTGTGTTTTGACCCTCAGGGGCCACCGTACATTACTGCTGATAATCTGATTACAATGAGCTTTCAGTAGCATAACAATCATTACGTCACTTTATTTTTTATTTTTATTTTGTAGGATTTTTTTCGAGATCTGTTAAAGCAACTGTGTGATAAATCCAGACTGTAAAGGTCATAACTTTCAGTTTCTGTTGCTTTTGAGGAGTTGCTATATCTAAATGATTCGTTTGGCTGCTGTAATGTCATGTAATACTGAGGTACAAAAGTGAAACTTACCGCCTCGGCGTAACTGGCCTGCCTCCTCTGTCGTTACACAGATTGACTTCAAGACCAAGATGCTGTGCAGCATAGAGAAGGGCATCGTCAAGAGGCAGCTTCCCTTCTCCAGGGTGAAGAGCTGTGACGATGGAGTCGGCTCCAGGTTCACGATTTCCTTCAAAGAACACCATGACTATGAACTAGAGGCGAGGTCGCTGGAAGACAAACAAAAAGTGAGCATTTAACGTTAATTGTAAAGTGAACGCAAGTTGTCGACTGTGAACTAAAAGTGACTGAGCATCGAAGGTGAAAGAGTCTAGTCTGACAGATGTTTTTGTTTGTTTTGAGCAGATGATACAGCTCGTCAATAAGATCATTTATGGGAACATCTATTGTGATGATGAGGAGGGGACAGGAGACGATCATCAACAGCCTCAGGCGTCACACAGCCTCAGAGAGGGAATCCTCCTGCTACACAGAGGAGGCCTGGCATCGTTCAGATGGATCAAGTGAGCGCTATACACACACACACACACACACATTGTTGTTTTGTCAGCATTTTATGTTGACATTATGCACTCTTTAACTCAGTGGTTTCCTACAATTTTTGGTATGGACCCAATTTTGACCTCACTTCGTTCCAGGTACGAGGTCCAGCTGCACCCAGGTCAGCTGACGTTGATGCCCTTTCGTCGTCACAGCCCTGCTGACAGTGGAGTGACGTCTGCTGTGCCCATGCAAATTGTGATTCACTTGTCTGACGGTGACACCTGTGTGCAGAGAACTTCCAGCCCGGACGCCTTCACTCTGATCACTCACAAAAATCAGTACCAGTGAGTAGGAAAGGACCACTACAACAGTACCAGACATTCAAAGATAAAATCCAGGCCTTGAATAGAGAGGCTTTCTCTTTGATCGATGTTTTTAAGAAGATTATTGTCTAGGCATCAAACTCCTGGCTCGGGGGCCACCCCTGGTCTGCGAACCCTCCTCGTCTGGCCCATGGACAACTAGATTCAATAATAATTAATAATAATAATAGTTTTTTTTCCTTGATGTAATTTTTACAATTTTATTTTCAACTGCTTTGTTTCTTTCAGTCATTAAATGTATCTAGTTGGTCATTTAAAAATGAGGAAAAACGTGTACTCGCTGTTTAACTGTAGTATTACACTTATATTTATATTAAACAAAATATGTTTCGTTTACCATTGAACTAATTGAATAAAATGACAGTGGCAGTTGGAGTTGTTGGATGGGAGTTGGAGACCCCCTGTGTTAGAGAATTTGTAACAAAGATCCTTGCTCTTAAATATTTATAAAATAATTTTGATTTTTTTTTTTTTTCAGATTTAAAGTTCTTTTATCCGATCAAGCCACGACTCAAAATGCCGCCCAGAAGGAGCGAGACGCCTGGGTCACAGCCATCGACAAACTGTGTCTAGACTGGAAGAGGAAGTCCAAGGGAGATTATGGATTTTTTGAAACCTGGACATTACGAGACATCAGCATAGGGGAAGACCCAGAGGACTCCAGCTCAGACCTGGAGTCAAGTGGTGGTTTCACTGGAAGTAGAACATCCCCAACCAAACCTCCAGTCGACTGTTCAAACACAGAAACCAGGACACAAAGCAGAAGTGACGAATCAGCTGCTTCTACTAAGACTGTCCCTGAACCTCGCACCACAGAGACGGCTGATGTGGATATTTTACCACCACACTCATCTCCTCCCTTAACACCCACCATTCCTACACCCCCACCCTTTCTACCAACCCCAGTGCCAGAGACCCCCAAGAGTAAACCGTCCCCATCATCTCAGGTCAAAATCCCTTCTCCTCCAAATATTCCTCTCCCTCCACCGTTACCTTCCAAAGCCAGTACATTGTCAAGAAAACCACAGACCAAGGCTTTTCACTGGGACCAAGTCAATCAGGAAAAGGTAAAAGCAACATGTTTCTTTCAAACTTCAAACTTTAAAAAACAAAAACTGTGCGTGTCACTAGGTCAAAAACAACTTTTCATTCAGTGAGTAA